GTCGCAGGCATCGAATGTAAAGTCGCTCAGAAATAAAAGACGATCACATACAATCAAAGTAGGCAAGTAAATATGATTTTAAAATATAAAATTCATTACAAATTTTATTGTTTAGTATATTTTATAATGATATATTTACTATACACTGATACACGTCTGGGCCGCCTGTGGATAAATGGCTGGATTTCATGAACCATGATTGGTTGATTGGTTAGAAATACAATTAGGCTATCCCCTGACATGAACCGAAAACAAAAGAACAGTCTAAGGCCCGTTTCAGACGGCGTACTTCTCATGTGCCGAACTTAATTGATGAATTAGGTACGGCAGAAGAGCGACGTATGAATCAATTAAGTACGGCAGAATTTGGAGCGGCAAAAGTTCGACACAAGTTCGGCAGAGCTTGTCGCATTATGCGACGTTGGAGCGACACTGATTCATACGCCGCTCCACTCATGTGCCAAACTTAACTCAACTTTAGTCTAAAAATAAACTTATTTATTTTGAATTTTATTGAGGTTTCGCTGGCGAATGCGCCCCGACCTTGTCAATAACATTGTATTTGGTGCGCCGTTTGAATCACTGCCGTTCTTGTGTCGCATCTAATACAATTAAGTTCGGCACATGAAGAGTACGCCGTCTGAAACGGGCCTAAGCTTCCTCCGCGGGCATCGCCTTTAGATTACAGTAATATAGGGCAAAATTTGCTTGCAGTAAAAAAGTAAATCACGCGGCACGAGATGCCTGCGGAGGACCGAAACGTACTGGTGAGCATGCGTAGACTGAAAAGAGTTGATACAGTAAATCCACGGTATGCAGGGTATCAAAATGAAAAGTTCGTCGCAAGTCAACTTTTTGGCGTACTACGGAAGTATTACTCTCGATTTCAATTTGCTTTTCAAAACTGACTTCCAATATTTACTTGTAAATTCGAAATGTTCGTTGTAAAGTTCCGAAGTTTGTTTCGAAGTTCGTTCCGATGATTTACAATAATCAAGTTTAGTAAGTTGTAATTGGCTAGTTAAGTGAACCAGCCAATCAAATCGCTTGCTATTGAATCATCGTAAATCATCGTAACGAACTTCGAAACAAACTTCGGAACTTTACAACGAACATTCCGAAGTAAACATTGGAAGTCAGTTTTGAAAAGCAAACCGAAATCGAGAGTAACCAATCAACATTCACTAAATTTTGAAATTTAAAAATGTTTTTGATACGTTTCGATACGGTACGGTACGCTTGAAGTGGAAACTCGTGACGATTTCATGACGTTCGTCTTGTTTTCGTTTCTTGCTTTACCGGAAGCGCAACAACATTACCACTTCCTGCCATTTAAATCCTGACTCAACTGTGTGTCGTGTTTCATTATTAAAATATCAATATGACGTTTTTATTGTTTTGCATAATTCTCCTGTTGAAAGATTTAATTCCGTATGACTCTTAATCTTCAAACAAGCTCTTTTAGTCAGAGAAATAATCATGATTTGGTTGGGTTTTTTAGCACTGTTTGTAGCTAGATGTGGTTGTCAGATTGCACCGCGTTCTACAGGTATGTTTTGACTGTAACTCTGCAAGATGACTGTTTGTTTGCCGAATCAATAATACGTATAAATACCAGATCAATATCAAAGCCTCTTGATTGAAGATTTTTATAAGATCATGCGCCACTGAGCTAATGTTCGCTGCATGATGTTTTAGATATACATGTACGTAAATTATTAATACGTTTGACCGAAACTGTATAAATTATATCGCAAATTCTATCAATTTACTATCATTTATTGTCAGATGTATCATGTAATTGCGAATTTCAAAATATTTCAATGTAAATTTTTGTGTCGTATCTTTAGATGTAGCACAGATATGTTTTTCAAGTTTGTAAAGTTATAATGTGATATCGATATTGATACATAATTTCTGTGACAGGTGACTACAGGGGGGCAGGGGACTCGATTTTGTCTAGAAAAACAAGAACAGCAACATCTTACCTTGTTATTGTAATTATACTATTATAAAACTTTGCTTTATAGAACTTTACAGTGAAGTGAGTGAACCATAACATTGCAGTGTATTCGTACTTCATGTAACAAGTTTAGTTTCTCGTATATGAGAGGCGAGGCAATATCAGTTTTATCGTTTGAGTGATGATAACACAAATATCATCCAGTGCAGCAAACAAGGGCTATTTATCACATTGTCCTGAAAAGGAAAATAACTATTAGAGACCGGTCATTATTTATGGAAGGGGGGGGGGTGGTCGGCAAAAATAGGGGGGCATATGTATAAATAAATTACTAGAAGGGGAGGCTATTAAATTTTTTTCAAGAAAATGGGGGGAGGGTTGCCATTAAATTTGAAGGAATTTGCCTAAAAGGCCTGGTATCCATTTGGTTGTAAATGTTGTGACTAAATCATGGTCACTGATGTGAAATAGTCTGGATTTATCTTGTCTTTTGTGTGCTGTATGCAAATCAGTCTTTATTGATTGCAGAGATAAATTGACAATGTATTATTACATCAGCTATCTTGACATCAGGTTACAATTGCCCAGACCAAATGGAAACCTGATTTTAGTGTTATATATAAAAATACTCCTTCTTTAATTATAATATCATTTATTAATAAGAAACAATTTGAAGAATACATCCTTGGCTAGGTCTTGTGTCATTCAATGATGCTTTAAATGAATGATCATGATACACAAAATAGTTTAAGATACCCCGCAATGGGTTTACGAACGCCTAAAATAAAAGTTGTCCATGTGTTAATACATGGGGATAAAATGCAAATTTACTGCATGAAGCAGTAAGGGAGTGGTCATTATTTATGGGGAGGGGGGTTGGTAAATGGGGGGGGGGTGTCAAACGAAGTTTTACAAAAAAGTTTTTGAACTTAAATACCATGACTAGAGTTCTGATTTCTATAATCACAAATAGCAAAAAAGAAGACTCTGAAAATGCCATTCCCAACGATCTAGAGACTCAAAATATTCAAAATTTCCCTGCTTGGTGCCAACCATGGTAGCGCCTCGTGGAAGTCGTGCCCACTAAGTTTAACAAGCTTGGACCTACCCCCTGAGTGACCTGGACAGTTGTGGTATTTACATGATAAGCATACCATGCAAGTACACTTAACTGATCAGATTTGGTCTATCAAAGCACAATGTAATGCTGTATATCCAAATATCTATTTCAGAAAATGCTCACATTTCAGTCCTAGGGGTGGAAAAATACAAAAAATTTTCTGGGGGAGAATGCCCCCCAGACCCCCCTACTAGTACATACGATAGCACACCAAACTTTTTAATTTTTTCACCAACAACCATTTGTCACTGATCTCTCCACACTCGATCAGTATAGTATTGGTCCCTTTTTGTAAATGCCCACCCCCCAGCAGACAAGTTCTTAAAAAAAGCCCAGTGTGTTCAAATAATTTCGCTGTATGAAGACGAGCCATGGTAGGACAAATGTTGCATTGCAAAGTAGTAACACATAATATATACTTTTTAATCATATATGGTTTAATCATATTCACCAGGGTAAAACATGAGCTAGATTAAACAGATTGTCCTAATATCTAACTTTACCTGCAATGCTCACCTGTTTCATTGCTGTTAATTTTTCAATCCACACTGGGGGGGGGGGGGGTTTCTACTTTTAGGGGGGGCACAAAAAGTTTGCTTTCAGTCTGGGGGGGGGCAAAATAATTTTCAATCCTTATTTTCCCCGTTTACCAACCTCCCCCCTCCCCATAAATAATGACCACTCCCTAAATATAATTAGATGTGAATATGTAATGAGAGAATATGAGTATAGAGATTGTTCTCAAGCTTTATTAACATATATACCACAGTTACGAACTAATTACAAGACTTATTATTATACTTATTGTTGCACATTCAAAAAGGTTACCTATTATCTCCGGACAGTTGTCATATTCATAACATTATTCATGTATACATTTTTCCGCATAATTAATCTTCACCCTTTTTAGTGCGGTGTTTCTTTGAAACTGTGCACTATTGTGATGAGTGGCGAAAATTCACACAGTCAGTCATTCAGTCATAGTGTAAACTTTCCGGGAGGAGTGTATTATGTGTATACAATTTATGTTTGTTGTGATTTATTGTCTAAACTTGTCTTATTTAAATATTCTTTTGTCCTTTTGCCAAGTTCACAAAAATTTCGAGGAATCGTTGTCGTTATTGTACATTTTAAAATTTTATAACATTCGCTTCTCATGTTGTGTGAAGGATCTTTCCGGTTAAGTATTTCTAGATCAGTGGATCTTTCCCCCGGAACACCATTTTTCTTCAGCAGCGCAAATGCGCATGCGCTATCAAGCCGTAGATCACGATGGCGTGACGATCATAGATGGTGACGATGCTTGGAAGGAGCGACACAGTGTTGTTTTCAAATTGCAAACATTCTACAGTAACGTGAATGTTGAGTAAATCTTTGAGAATCTACGCAATATATAAATTGATGTTATGCATTACGGGCGTTCAATTAAGTACCGATATTATTTTGACGGCATATTCAATATAAAAAGCTAGGAAGCAGCCAGACAGTGTTGTTTTGAAATGTATAAACATTTCAGACATGAATATTGAGAAAATCTTTGATCTTGTTAACACTTGTTATTTTCACTTTCCATGCCTTAACATATACAAATCTGGGTTATTTTTTATTTGCACATGTAGGCTATTATACATCCTTGTATTTATGCAAATATTTAATGTAAGTACTTTAATGATGCCTTGATGCCTTTCAACCTCGCTGGATGGGGGGATTAAACTACTCGCATGTTACTCTCCATCGTGAGACGGACGAGTAACATGAGAGTAGTTTAATCCCACCATCCAGCGAGGGAAGTGTCGTCATGAGGAATGCCCAGAGCGAGGTGACGTCAGCTATTATTTTCCCTAGGATGTCATGAATTGTCGCATAATATTTATCGCATAAAATATGTCGCGCGACATTGGAATTAACTGGAAACTGATTTGATAAATGTTAATTCCTCACAGCTAGTGTTAATTACGGCCAGCGTTAATTGTGGACAGAATTATTGCGTGACAATTGTCCCGTGACATGAATTGTCGCATAACATACAGTATGTCGCATAATATTTGCCGCGTGAGTTTTTACGTACGTTAGAGTTAGACGTCTATATAACGTCTGGTACATGCGTGCGCTTGTGAATGGTTGGTCTAAAAGAAAACGTCACACCTATTTAGACAAATGTATGTGGATGAAATTGACTATGAGTTGTTCACTCCTGAAAAACTTAGTGATTTCGTGTTTACGGAGATGGTATACCGTTAAATTCAGAAACTGGAAGAGGAGACAGGTATAAATCAAGATGAAATGTATGGTCATAATCAATGGTCCAGGTTTGGACAGCGAATTGAAGTTTTAGATGAAGAAGAGCGCTGGATGAATTATGCAGAACAGGCTCTGGCAATGCGGAATCATGTAGTGATCAGATATAGCAGGCAATCGTTGAAGCATGCAAAATTTTAAAGTATCCTGAACCATCAGGAACACAAAGAGATTATTTTGAAACACTTTTTGACATGTCATGTTACGTTTGGCATCAATTCATGTATTCTGAGTTCGAAAGAACTGTTTCTCTCAACAACCTCATGGACTACATTAGCTGTGTTTGTAAATTAAAATACAATTCAACCATATAATGTACATAAAAATAAATCATTTTAAAACATATTGTGTTGTTGTCCTTATCCGCTTTATTCCATGCTGTTGCTTCCAGTATCAGTATCTATTTTAACCATGGTGGGCACTTGCTACAGTAAGAATGATAAAAGTCAAGAGAAACAAGGATCATAATAGACAGAATTCGAAAATGTTCAGATTCGGCATCAGCCTTGGTCGTAATGATTTAAATCTGGAGGGCCATTTTCAAATGAGGTACAATGGCAAGACAACTATGAACCCATTGAAAAGCGGTTGGTTCTTCCAGAAAATTTACTTTCGACAATAACAGAATTAAATGAGCAGACAGTGTTGACTTCAAGGTCGGATACTGGAGCAACCGAAGCGTAGTGTTATGAATGAAAAGACATCCTGTCACTTGCAAATAGACTAATGCATGGCGTTTGATTTTGTTGTAAGTGATCAGGTAAACCATTTGACAGCTTCGATATCACTTTAAATACATTTCCGTCTTCCGTTTGCAAACGTTATGTTCACACTGATTTAAATCATTTCAGTATGTTAGTGACGTTGAAGTGTTTAGTCTTGCTAATCTAGTTTAATTCCTACGCTACTTATGTCAAACTGCGGGCTTCGAATAATAATGCGGTTATATGCGTCCCGTGAGAAAGTTCAGCGCTGTTAGATTTTCAAAATCATGTCGGGTATACAATCTTGTGCGATGAGCGCATGAGCACATGCTCATAACTGCTCATGAGCACATGCTCATATCTGCTCATAAAACTGCAATACAGCTCAATAGCAAGGCATTTCTGCCCAGTCAGTACTAACGGAATGAGCTGCCAATTTTGCGGAAACCAATTTAACCGTGGTTACAATCTACGAAGACACCAAAAAAAATACTGTCCACTACGCGAACAAGAAAGAACCATGTCTCAAACGGACTCGGATGGCCAAGAAAATGATTTCCAAGACGACGTTTCCACAACTTCAGCTCAAGGGTCTGGAAGTTCGATGACGACTGTTAACGAGTCAGAAACTGAAGAAGAAATGGACCCTTGGATACCGTTGATAGAAGAAGCAAAGCAGGGAAGTAATATAGCTTTTGAGGAAATGAAAGAAAGCCTTACAACAGTGGTCTAGATGAACAATCCGCTAAGGACAAAGCTTACTCTAATATTTTGCCTAAACTCCAGAAAGAACTGGAAAATATTTATATGGAGCGTCTCTTGTGGATGAAACAACTAAAGAAAGATCCAGTTCATAAGAAAATAATGCACACATGCAAAAGATGAACTTGTGGAAAACGATGATTTTGACCCAGAAGAAGCCATGGAAGCAGCTATTGATAAGAGAAAGTTTCTTATAAGAAGACTTTTAAAGGGTTACAATTTTGATGAAGAGAATGATGATGATTAAACTCGTTAATATGATTGAAGTCAAGTACAGTATAAGCATGTAAAAACATACCAGTGTTAAGGTACACCATGTACACTTCAAGTCATTAAATAAATTGCTTTTCCTGTCTTTTCTTCTCTTTTCTTTTTACATGGGTCGACCGGGTACAAACTGAATCAAAACTGCAAAAACACACGAAAATGTATAAATTTGTTGCAGTGGCTTCCACGAACGAAGAACTGTACACCCAGTCATCGGGCCTAAAGGGCCTTATATATGAGCAGATGAGCATGTGCTCATGCATGAGCAGTTATGAACATGTGCTCATGCATGAGCAGTTATGAGCATGTGCTCATATGCTTATACAGGATGAGCCGATGAGCATGTGCTCATGAGCAGTTATGAACATGTGCTCATACGCTCGTCGCATAAAATTGCACCCGACATGACGTTGAAAATTGGACAAAATCAATACGTAGTAGTTTGGGTTTAAACGGGCCTTAATGCGATGCAAAATTCTAAATGCAGACGCATGAGCAAAATGCGAACTCAATGCATGCGAAGAATGCGGAGCAAAATGCGAAAATTTTATTTATACCTTGAACAATTAAAAACAACTAACTTATATCTCACGAAATGTTATGTGGTGATAATTCAAAATAGCGTACGAATATATTTCGTGCAATACTTCATGTGTCATATCAGCAATACCGTCATTGTCATGCAGATGCTATTCAATAAAAACTGTTAATTATAAAAAACGTCCCAGACCGGACAAGCAACCTACATTTTCGATGAATAAATTGACAGGCCCGAGTCCGTTGTGTCAATTGTTTGTGTTGAGCCTATATTCGAGGCATTTCCACAGTTTCAACAGATCGCTGGTCTACTCTTGCCCGCAAGACTCTTGGGCCGTTGGGGCCAAACATCTCACCGATCGAAATCTGAACGCGCATATGTAGCCTACTTAATATAAAAATAGAAGAAGAAGATAAAAATAGAAGTCGGTATAAATGTAGCGAAAATAATAATATTTGTTAATAATAACTATAATAAGAGTAACGACGCAACTTTATTCGTAAGCTCGAAGACAATGTTTGTCGAGGGCGTTTGCTCGTACAAAGTGTCGAAACACAACGCAGACATTTCGTTGATGTGCTTAAATCCTTTTGCATTGCCGTTGTATAGAATTTGACATCAACAATTCCGTTTGGACCGTATTCGTTGAGACCACACAGTTGACTTTAACTTTGATCTTTGAAAAAATCGCTTTACGACAATTTATTGGATTTTACCGAAGATCAATAAGGACTATAAGTTCAGATATAGTCCAAGCAAAGTTCCTTCAGAAACAGAAGAAAACTTACGGCTAGCAGTATCAATGCACCCTTATATCGCAAGAGGGAAAGTGTCTCTCTCATGATATCCCATTAGCTTTACATATCCATCAAGAGAATGAACAAAATTGGGCCCTTTTGTCGTGAAATGCCTCTTAACATGCTATTAGTAAAACACGAAGCACGGAGCACACGGAGTACGGAGCAGTAGAAAAACGAAAATCCTTTATAATAAAATACACTGTTTACTATTACAAATTTTTGTTATTATTAATAAAGTTTTTTCGCGTTTTACACGTTGGGCCGGGAAGTAAGAAAATTGGACTTTTAAAAAACACATATGCAAAACTGCCAAAAGCCATAGACTATAGTTGTATTTCAAATAGGATTGTGAAACTCGTTATCTGTACTGGGATTGCCAGTAAACGTGGCCGAAAACAGGTTTCAACTCACTTTAGTATGGTATATTATATAATAGTAGATTTAGGTAAAACACTGTTTTCCTTCGCACGCCATCTTAGCTCTCATGCGCATGCTCTAACGAAACGTAAATAAACATCGTCCAAAAGGCGATCGCAGAGATTATTGCTACGACCCAATACACCGGAAGGGCTGGGGTCGATGCGATCGCGTCTTAAAATCTGAATGTAAATTTCTCCAATGCATTGTTCACTCAATACTATATAATGTCACTGTCCGTTCATACACTCTCTTTTGCTTCCGACTTGGTTTCCTGGTCTTGATCCATATCCACTAGTACTGATAACGATAATCGCTGAGCACTTCGTGACACAATGACAGCCTCGTTATGTCCTTTGTATTTTTGTACCTTTTCTCCAATTTGAAAATTCTTGTACATGACATTTACTCGACGAACTTTTCCGTCTTGACTGGGAAACACTTCTTGTACTATACCTAAACGGTAATCTCCTCGCAAGGTATTACGGTCGGCGATTATTACAAGATCTCCTGGGCGCAGGTTACGGTTGGCTGTATTCCACTTGCGACGAATAACCAAGGCTGGGGCGTATAACTCAGTCCATTTCTTCCAGAACTCGTCTTCACGATCTGGACAACATGATAACGCTTTCCTGGATAATTACTGTTAGGCTGCCATCCACCAGGATTCTTCGCCGTTGCTCTGCCCAGTAACAAGCTGTTGGGAGTAAGGATGTTTAATTCGGAATCAGCGCTCGGGAGGGTTCCGATAGGTCTTTCATTGAGGAGGTTTGTGGCTTCGCTACACACCGTCATGAACTCTTGGAATGAAAGACGTTGGTTATTGATTGCGAAATGAATAGCTCTCTTGGCACTCTTCACCAGGGATTCTACAGCTCCTTGGTACCAAGGACTATCAGCGGGGGGCGAAGATCCAGGTCAACCCATTCTCTGTGCCACTTTTATGTAGGGATTGTCGGTCAATGCTCTTCCAGGTTTCCGTGAGTTCTCTTTCCGCACCAATTAGTTGTGATCCGGGATCACTATAATGATTTCGGACCAACCACGAACACTGACGAATCCGCTGAGGGCCATTAGGAATGATTCGGCATCGTACCCGAACACAGCTTCGATGTGGACTGCTCTCTTAACTAGATCTGTGAAGATTACTCTGTACGCTTTACCACTTGTTCTTTTCTGTACTTCTCCACGAACTGAGTAGGGTCCGAAAAGGTCTATCATAACGTGGTTGAAAGCTGGAGCTGGTTTCAATCTTGCTTCCGGTAGTTGTCCCATTTGCTGCTCGAGGAACTTTGCTTCTCGTAGCTTGCACATCTGACATTTACTCTTGATTGATTGAGCGAGTTTGCTTCCTTGGGTTACCCAGTAGAGTTGACGGAATCGTGCTAAGGTTGCATCACGCCATCTATGACCAGAAGTGTGAGCTCGTTGCATGAAGAGTCTGGTAACATGATGTCGGTAGGGAAATAGCTTTTGCAGCGAAGAATCCACTGTCATGGGATTTTAGTTCTTCAGGCGCTGTCCCACTACCCAGAGTCCACTTTCATCTTGGACTGGATTCAAACAAGCGAAACGACCACCTTTTCTGCCTTTGCGGTCAGTTTTTGTCAGTTCACTTTCAAATGATTTCTGAACTTCTTTAACAATAAAGTTCTCGGCTTCTTGTAATTGCTTAACCGAGATGGACAGAGTCCTTCCGTCTTTAAAACTTTTCTTCTTCGCAATGTTTAGCAATCTGGCGACGACCCAAATAGCTTTGTTGATACTGCTGAATCGTTCATAGTCGATCAACAATGCCTCTATGCTCGATGCTGCTGCAACATGGACTTTCTTTTCACCGGGAAGTGGTTCTTTCTTTGGGTTCCATCCCAGACCGAGCACTCGTAAGATTTCGTCAGTTCCTTTTAACATTATTAGTCTTTGGTCTGAGCTTTCAACACTCTTTTCTGGCAGGTCCAATTTTAACAACTCTTCTTTCAAGCGAGGTTGTGTTTCGCCACCGAATTGCCAGCACTTTACAGCAAATCCTCCTTTGGCAAGGATATCCTCGGATTCCTTGGCAATCTTTAACGCGTCGGGTTTACTTGGACGCGAGTCAATCAAATCATCCACGTAACTGGAATGTTTTGGGAGATTTGCGGCTTGTGGACCATCCTCTCGATAAAACTCCGCGGTCTTGTAGACAGCTTCTGTGCTGATGGCGGGGGCTGGTGTATTGCCCATATTGACTGGTTGTATTACGTAAATGTCCGGTGGGCGATGCTTCTGTAAATCTCGCCATAGGAAACGGTGGCAATGCTGTTCCAAGGCCTTCAAATAAACCGAGTTGAACATCTTTCGAATATCTCCGATTAGCGCTACTCTTTCTTCTCTCCAACGTAGAAGAATACCAACCAAGTTGTTCATGTAGCTGTCTGGACCTTTTGCGAGACAAGCATTTAATGAAACACCTTTGGGCGTTTGGCTGGAGTTGAACACAATTCTCACGGGCGTAGAATTGGAATGCGGGTTTACAACTGCTAAATGGGAGATATAGAACACCGGGCCAGTCCAGCTCTTTACTTCTTCGGATGATAGTTTTCCTGCTACACAACGATCGACCATATCGTCCATTTGGCTCTTGTACGTCTTAGCCCATTGATCATCTTTCTTAAGCGTTCTTTCAGTTCTTTCTAACGTAGCAAGTGCAGTGTGATAATTGTCGGGTAAACATTGTGGATCTACGAGCCAGGGATAACTGGTTATCCAGCATTGGTTTACTTCGTCGTACTCGAGGTTTGCTTGAATCAGTTTTACTTCCTGTTCTTCCTTGAAAGAGTAAGTGTGTCCGACAGTAGGGCACTTATTACAGCGACATCCACTACATTGTGGAGAAATTTCGGTGGCAAGTTCTTCTCCTTGTATAAAATTGTCAATCTGGCTTTCGTCCTTTCGGTGACTATAGGAACTCGATACATTAACAGAACATTCTCTGGTATGGTTGGGATGGAACTCTGGATGTGAGCCCAAGCGTGTCTTGTATGTCTCCACTTTCACGTTAACATCGTGTATTTTCTTTGCGAGATTGATGTCATATCTTGTTTCTTCGATCAGATCTGGATGGGCGCCTTGGAGGCAAATCCCCAATGCTCCATTCACGATACTTAGATTGTCACCACATCTAGCTTCTTCTTGCTTTGGATGGAGACCGAAGTAATCACAGCCCAGCAGGACATCCACGTGTGTTGACTTTCGCTGGAGTATTTCAGGATCATATTCTGGAAATAACTTGACCAGGACTTTAGGATCCAGTTTGCTTACTTGTCCGGTAATTCGCTCCATGCCAAAGGCCGTAATAGTGACTTTCTTTCCAGCACTTGTGTTGATTGGAAACTCGTATTGCCACGTGTTGTACGTTTTCTCGACATTTCCCATAGTTGTCACGTCAAGAGAGAGTTTTTTAACTTTCTTTTTATTCTTTCCGCAGCACGATGAGTGATATAACTTGCGTTAGAGCCTCCATCACAGAAGACGGACACTTTTCTACCACTGTCGCTAATGGTCGCTTGGTGGATAGGGTATAATGCCATTGAATCTCTTCCTACGGTATAGGATGCTACTTCCTTGTTCCCATTATCTCCAGTTTTCGATTTCTCCCCGGAATCTTTTGGGGGCTTTGGTGGGATGCACAGCAGGGAATGATGTTGGTCACTTCCACATGAGGAACATGGGAGTTTTTTGGGGCAGTTAAGCTTCCTATGATTACCAAAACATTTGAAACAAGCGTTTACCTGCTTCAACAACTCATATCTGCCATCTTTACCGCTGATGGACAACTTCTGGAATTCTTTGCACTGTTCGGTGGTGTGATTTATGGTGTCTTTTCTGTGGGTGGGGAAGGCACACTTGTAGTAGGTTATTTGTCCGTGTTTTGCACCTCTTTCAACATGATAGGTTTTGCTGTATCCTCTTGCATTGTCATTTCCTCTTTTCTTAGAATGCTGATTTTCTGCTAAACGAGCCACAACTGAACGTTCTCTGTCTAGGAACTTCATTAGCGGAGTAAATGGTTGAAGCTTCTCCGCAGACGATAAATCACGATACTTTCGTCTCCAGTCGACTTTAAGATGGGTAGGTAACAAATCAGTTAGGTTGTCTACATCTCGCATGGTTAAAGTGTTTAGCTGGCTGAGCTCTTCCAATTGACTGTAGGCAGATTCAACTTCATCCACTAATTCAACCAGAGCTTTATAATCTTCTTCTTTTACAGGTTTTGGCCTTTGAAGATCTTCCAAAGCAGCTTGTACACTGGCAGTAGTATCTCCATAGTGACACTCTAGCTTTTCCCACATGATGTCGTAAGCTTCGGGCTTGGTGACAAAAACAGATTTGATGCGGTGTTTGGCTTCTCCTTTAACTGAGTTCTTTAAGTTCGTGTGCTAATGCAGTTTATTATAACTTGCAGACCCAGCCATAGACTTCCAGACTGCCTTGAACTCTGGCCAGTCTTTCCTAAGTCGGGAGAATGTGGGTAGGGCCATCCTTTTTAGCCGAATGGTGGAGTCTTGGTTGGAAGGTCTTGTATTGATCAACGGGACTGTGGTTTGATGTCCAGATGGGGTTGTATACATAGGACTGGTTGACAAATTGCTCCTGGTCTGATTGTGGTTGCTATAATAGCTGGATGCCACTCTTGGCAGATTTGATCCCATTGGCATGGCAAATGCAGGGAAACCTGTTGATAAATTTGTAGGATTCTGACATTGCTTAAACAAATGCGTTTGTCCCGATGTGGAACTGCTTTCCGAATGAAAGGTGGTAGAGGGAATGAAGGTTTGAGCTGATGTATTCAAGCAAAAACCCGTACTGGTCCCAGGTAAGGTTGGTAGGGGGGTGTTGGCCTCTGTAATGTTGGTGGTGTAAATTTATATATTATATTCCCCGAACACATGTATAATAATAGCCTTACTCTTCCAGTTAATTATTAAAGCCCGAAGGTCCATGCCTAATAGCCTGCAAACAGGCTTGCTATTTACTAGTATCTATTTCAATGTAAATATAAATGTCAATATATCACACCACTCCCCCCTTTAAAAGTATTATGTGTATTTTTCTGGAGGTCTTCGAATTCTTTCTGGATATCTTCTCTCTGGTTGCATTTCCTCTTCTCTGCTGTCAGATTCACTGTCCTCACTGGTACCCAGTGCTGGGTGTACGACCCCATTCTTCTTTGGTGGATTCCTTGACTTTGGTTTCTTGACAGGTCGAATCTGATAAGGTTTAAGGTAATTGTAATGGACAATTTCTTCTTTAGTTCCATTATTCCTTCTCACTACATAAGATGTTTTGGTTACCGACGTGGGCTTTACCACGACGTAGGGTCCCGTCCACCGATCTGCAAATGTTTTTGCTCGTAAATTTCTTTTCCAAACTTGTTCACCCACCCCCAACGATTTAAACGAAGTTTTACTGTTGTACCGTTCTCTGCGTTTTTCCGCTAACTTGGCATCGGACTCTTGTGCTTTTTGGAATACCTCACTAACAGTCTCGCGCAGTCGTTCCGTTTTCTCTCTAACCGTTGCTGGTGATATCTTCTCTGTTATAATTTCGAATTTTGATCGCGGGTGCTCCTTGAAAACTAGTTCGTACGGCGAAACTCCTGTACTTGTATGAACTGCTGTGTTGTATGCTAGTTGTACGTCAGGTAGGTGTTGAGACCATCGGTTGGGATGTTTATCTACCAATTTTGTGAGTGCTTCCCCCATCGTACGATTAATCCGTTCTACACCCGCGTTTCCTTGTGGCCTATAGAGTGGACTGAACGTATGCTCAATGCCTTGGGTTATGCAAAACTGTTCAAAAGTTTCGCTTATGAAACAAGGTCCATTGTCAGAGTGCACTTTGTTTGGTAAACCATATCTTGATATCCAACCCATGAGTGTCTTACAAACAACTTGGCTGGTTTGTCCTCGAATTGGATGCATCTCTGCATATTTTGTACATGGATCTGTTATCACAACAATATTGTTAAATCCCTCTTTCGTTCTCGGTAATGGACCCTTGAGATCTACTTCTATCAACGCAAATGGTTTCTCTTCTTTTGGTCGTTAATGAATGGGTGCTTTTCTATGTCCCTGGGCAAGAGTAGCAGCACAGCGTTGGCACGTTTTTGCATAGTTCTCTACTTCTGCTTTCATCTTTGGCCACCAATAATGAGGTTCAATTCTTGCAAGCATTTTATCTGCTCCTTGGTGCCCTGTTTCGTCATGAGCTAATGATAATATGGTGGGAACAAGCGATGCTGGAAGTAACACTTGCTTCTTATGATCTCGTGTGAATAAACCATGTTCGTTTCGGTGAGTGGAAATATGTGGCTTAAGGGTTGGGTCACGTTCTTGCTGCACTTGGAAATCATTTATGTCCAACCTTACATCTTTGCACGGACCAATCTCGTCTTGAGAGCCACCAATAGTAGCCACTTTACTAGTATCCTCATCTCTCTCTTCCCACTTGACATTCCATCCGATCCGACTAAGAGCATCTGCCATGTGATTATCCTGCCCTCGAATAAACTCTATGCGTGGTTCGAATTCTGCTATATCTCTCATCAATGTCGCTCTTCGTCCAAATGGATCTTTCTGTTCCAGGATCTTTAGAAGAGGTTTGTGGTCGGTCCTCATCACTACTTGTGCTCCTAACAGATAATACCGAAAATGCTTAAGTGTGTCTCGCATAGCCATCACTTCTCTGTCATAAGTTGGATATGAACGTTCTCGTTTGGTCAATGCACGACTGAAATATGCAACTGGATGTAATTGTCCTTGTGCATCTTCTTGTGATAGTTCACCACCCAGACCCACTTTACTTGCATCCGTGGTAACAACAAAGGGTCGAGTGGGGTCAGGATGGGCTAATACTGGAGCTTTAACCAACTCATGTCTTAGTGTATCGAATGCATCATCTTGCTCCTTACCCCAAGTGAATGTGACATCTTTCTCCAAAAGCCATGTTAATGGTCGAGCAATTGTACTAAAATTCTTGATAAACTTCCGATACCACCCAACTGCACCCAAAAACATTTGCACCTCTTTAAGACAAGTTGGTGCAACCCATGCACGAATTGCCTTTACTTTATGTTCCTCTGGCTGCACACCCTTGTTGCAAACTTTGTGTCCAAGAAATTTCACTTCTTTCATTGCGAAAGCACATTTCTTAGCTTAACTCGTAATCCATGCTGTCGCAATGCATCAAATACTCCCTGGAGATTTACTAAATGTTCCTCAAACGTTTTGCTAATAATACAGATATCATCCATGTACAATGCCAACCGATGTGGTGGAATGTGTCCTAGAACCTTCTGCATCAACCGAGAAAAAGTTGCCGGACTTCCTTTTAAACCATATGGCATTCTTGTCCATTCCCAAACCCCAGTAGGTGATCGAAACGCTGTCTTTGGTCGATCTTCCTTGGCCAGTGGGACCTGCAAATAACCTTGGGCCAAGTCAATAACACTAAAATAGTTAGCACCTGATAGATTGTCTAGAACCTCTTGCAAATTTCCAGTTGGATATGGTTCATTCTGGGTAATTTTGTTAAGTGGTCTGTAGTCTACACACAATCGAACTGTTTTATCTGGTTTCAATACAGGTACAATTGGAAATGCCCAAGGGGACTTAGAGGGTGTCAAATGTCCCGACTTTACATGGTTTCCTACTGCTTCATTATTTTTTTGTGTTAACCCCAGGTTGTGTCGTCTGGGGTGGCACACAATTGGATCAGATACGGCTGTGGGTATTGTGTGCTCTATTGTTGTGGTGAACCCACTGTTTCCTGGGTAGTCGAAAACTTGTGTATTTTTTCGAATTAAAACTTCTAGGTTTTCTCTTTGTTGTGTTGTCAATTGTTCACCAACTGATACTTCTGGAACTGGGTCATATTGTGATGATGGATTATTTCCCCCCATATTTGACTCTGAAATATGTCCTATGTTTTGGGTACTTGGCAGTTCCTGAATTGTGGCCGCAGTTTGTTCTCTATAAACTCTGATTGATTTATCAGTGGTATTTAGTACGCATATGGGGATTTTACTTTCATCGTTCATCATTTCTGCCGAAATCTTTATCGGGGCTGTAAGAAGCCCAGTTCTCTGCTGAAAATGTTCCGTACCTTCGATATACGAATCTCTAGTAAATTTTTCATTCTTATTTTCCAATTTACCCCAAATGAATATTTCTTCAAATGGCTTAATATCACGACTTTCCGCAACTCGTATGTAGCAACACTTTAGCATTTCCTGAGGGGTATCTACTTCCGGTTGTAACACAGGTTGGGCCCCATCTATTGTTGCCAATTTTTTTCCTGTGTTCAACGATACACCCAATTTTCCCAAAGAGTCCAAGCCCAGAATCCCGTTTTGAACACCACTTACCACAAAAAAACTCAATATACAACTATTTGTCCCTACCGTAACTGATGTTTGAACCACACCTCTGCATTCTGCGTGTGTCCCATTAGCCATCTCTACGTGACGTGTAGTTGGTTGAATTTTCATGTAATGTTCTTGTGCTAACGCCGTTGGAATAACTGAAACCTCTGCTCCAGAATCACAAATAAACTCATGCTTGAACTCTCTGCTTCCAGACTGAACAACTGTACCAGTTAGTGTAATAAATTTCTTCGCGGCTGAGAACGAATTTATTTTTGCTGACGATTGTTCCCAGCCGCCTTGGAGTTTAAAGACGGCGAAGGGCGAGGGCTTGTAGCATGGCAAGATGGTGCTGTATGGCCCTTTTGCCAGCAGCGTTGACAAAAATCTTTAAATGGACAGTCTTTCCGAAAATGTTCAGGCGACTGGCAGTGGAAACACGCTTGATTTTTACCGGTTTTGGCGGGAAATTTCCTAGGTTTTGGCGGGAAATTTCTCTTTCCAACGAACCCGACCGTACGTTTTGTTTCGTCCTCCGTTTCCCGACTTCCATCGTTTTCTTTGGATAGGGCGGCTGCTACCTCTTCTCTGATTATCTTTCTTAACGATATTTCGTCTGCTTCCCCTGTCGTTTTCAAATTGTTTACTTCGAGGTTTACTTTTGGCGCTGTTGTTTTATAAATTAGCTCG